CTGGAGCCCACAAGTTGGAGACTAGCTTGGGCAACATGTTGAAACCCTGTCTCTACAAAAAAATACAAAAATTAGCCAGGCGTGGTGGCGAGTGCCTGTGGTCCCAGCTACTCAGAAGGCTGAGGCAGGAGAATTGTTTGAGCCCAGGAGCAGGCAGGTTGCAGTGTGCCACTGCACTCTAGCCTGAGCGACAGAGCAAGACTCTGTCACATAATTAATTAATTAATCCCTTTATTGTAATTTTAGGGGAGTGAAGGAGGGAGAGAGCTGAAAGGACTTGCATGTTTAACCTACTCTCTGTAGTTAGATTATGCAAACTTTTTATCTGAAGATTTGTGCCTTGATTCAGTTCTGGAAAATACTTAGCTGTTATCTCTTCAAGCCTGACTTCTCAGCTATATTTCTTTTTCTATTGCTACAGAAACAAATCATCCCAACCTTAGCAGCTAGAAAAACTCACAGGTATTATCTCACAGTTCTGCAGGTCAGAACTCTAGGTTGGTTCTACTCCCTAAATTAAAATTCCTGGGCTCTTATCTAGAGATAAGAGAATCTGGGGTAGGACCGGCTCATTCTCATCACTCTCATTCGTGTTGGTGTAAGGAATTCCGTTTCCTACAGCTGTAGGGCTCAGGTTCAGTTAACAGCTGCTGGCTGTAAACAGGCTCTCTCAGTGCTTCTAGGATGCTTGCATTCCTCGAAGTCTGCCCCTTCCATTTTCGAGCCAGTAAGCCAGCTTTTTATGTCCTTTTAATCAAGGCCTTCTTATACTTCACTGCTTTTGTTTGTTTTGTTTTTGTTTTTTTTTTGAAACAGGATCTCAGTTTGTCACCCAGGCTGGAGTGCAGTGGCATGATCTCGGCTCACTGTAACCTCCACCTCCTGAGCTCAAGCTATCCTCTGGCCTCAGCCTCCCGAGTAGCTGGGATTATAGGTGTGTGACACCGTGCCCAGGTAATTTTTTTTTTAAGTTTTTTAGTAGAGAAGACAGGGTTTCACCATATTGGCCAGGCTGGTCTTGAACTCCTGGCCTCAAGTGATCCACCTGCCTCAGCCTCCCAAAAGTGCTGGGATTACAGGCCTAAGCCACCATGCCCAGCCCGCATCACTATTTTTAAGGGCTCATGTGAGTATATTGGGCCCACCTGCAGAACTGAAGAAAATACCCTTTATTTTAAGGCTTTTAATCATAATTACATCTGCCAAATCCCTCCTGCCATGTAGTACCCTAGTCCCAGGTTCCACACATGAGAGTGTAGACACCGTTAGGAGGCCATTCGACCTATAATAGCTGCTATCCCTCTAGTGCCTTCTTGGAGCCTCTCAAGTTATTATCTATATTCCTTAATTACTTTTACATATAGCTGATTTCTTTGTCTTCACTGGGGTCCAGGTAAATTCTCTAATTCTTTTAACTGTGTGTATTCTAGAGTTTATCCCATTTAATGAATTTTTTAAAAATTTTGATGACTATATCTTTAATTTCAAAGTTTTCTGATTAGTCCTCATTCATACCCACCCGTTCTTTTTAAAATTTTTTACTTTTGTGGGCACATAGTAGGTGTATGTATTTACGGAATACATGAGATATTTTCATACAGGCATAGAATGTGTAATAATCGCATCAGGTAAATGAGGCATCTATCTCCTCAGGCATTTATCCTTTGTATTTTATTTTTTGAAACAATCCAATTATACTCTTCACTTTTTAAAAAATGTACAATTAAATTGTTTTTGACTATAGTCACCATGTTATGCTAGCAAATACTAGATCTTACTCATTCTGATTATTTTTTTGATATCCATTAACAATCCTTACTTCACCCTCTCTTCCCCCCCGGCCCCCCCCACACACACACACTACTCTTCCAACTTCTGGTAACCATCTTCCTACTCTCTATCTCCATGAGTTCAATGGTTTTAATTTAGCTCTCACAAATAAGAGAGAACACACAAAGTTTGTCTTTCTCTGCCTGGCTTAACTTAGTGGCCTCCAGTTCCATCCATTTGTTGCAAATGACAGAATCTCATTCTTTTTTATGACTGAATAGTATTCCACTGTGTACATGTACCACATTTTCTTTATCCATTCGATGAACATTTAGGTTGCTTTCAAATCTTGGCTACTGTGAATAGTTCTGCAATAAGCATAGGAGTGGAGATATCTCTTTGATATACTTATTTCCTTTCTTTCAGGAATATACCTGGCAGTGGGGTTGCTAGATCATATGTTAGCTGTATTTTTAGTTTTTGGAGTAATCTTTAAACTTTTCTCCATAGTGGTTGTACTAATTTACATTCCCAACAATAGTGTATACCAGTCCCTTTTCTTCATATCCTCTCCAGCATTTATTATTGTCTCACTTTTGATATAAGCCATTTTAACTGGAGTGAGATGATATCTCATTGTAGCTTTGATTTGCATTTCTCCTCTGACTAATGATATTGATTGATCTTACCTGTCTGCCATTTGTATGTCATCTTTTGAGAAGTGTCTATTGAGATCTTTTGCCAATTTTTAATTGGATTATATTTTTTCCTTTAGAGTTGTTTGAGCTCTGTGTAGTTTCTGTTATTAATCCCTTGCCAGATGGTAGTTTGCAAATATTTTCTCCAATTCTGTGGGTTGCCTCTTTTTGATTGTTCCTTTTGCTGTGCAGAAGCTTTTTAACTTGATGTGAACCCATTTTATATTTTTTGCTTTGGTTTCCTGTGTTTTTGGAGTATTACTCAAGAAATCTTTGCCTAGTCCAATGTCCTGGAGAGTCTCTCCACTGTTTTCCTGTAGTAATTTCATAGTTTGAGGTCATAGTTTGGTCTTTAATCCATTTTGATTTGATTTTTGTATGTAAGGAGAGATAGTGGTCTAGTTCATTCTACATATGGATATCTAGTTTTCACAGCACCATTTACTGAATAGACTGTCTTTTCCCCCAATGCATGTTATTGGCAGCTTTGTCAAAAATGAGTTCACTCCAGATGTGTGGATTTGTTTCTGTATTCTCTATTCTGCTCCATTGGTCTATTTTTATGCCAGTACCATGCCATTTTGGTTACTAAACCTCTGTAGTATTATTTGAAATCAAGTACTGTGATTCCTCCAGTTTTGTTCTTTTTGCTCAGGGTAGCTTTGGCTACTCTGGGTCTTTTGTGATTCCATATAAATTTCAGGTTTTTTTGTATTTCTGTGAAGAATGTTATTAATATTGACAGGGATTGCATTGAATCTGTAGATTACTTTTAAGTATTATGAACAATTTAATGATATTTATTATTCCAATTCATGAATATGGAATATCTTCCCATTTTTGTGTTTCCTCTTCAATTTCTTTCATCATACACTTTACAGTTTTAATTGTAGAGATCTTTCACTTCTTTGTTTAAGGTAATTCCTAGGTATTTAATTTTATTCGTAGCTATTGTAAGTGCGATTACTTTTAAAATTCTTTTTTTAGATTGTTCCCTGTTGGCATGTAGAAATACTACTGACTTTCATATGTTGATTTTGTATCCTGAAACTTTACTAATTTTATCAGTTCTAATAATTTTTTGGTGGAGTCTTTAGGTTTTCCCAAATATAAGATCATATCATCTGCAAACAAGGATAATTTTACCTCTTCGTTTTCAATTTGAATGCTCTTTATTTCATTCTCTTCTCTGAAATTCTCTAGCTAAGACTTCCAGCACTACGTTGAATAACAGTGATGAAAGTGGTTATGCTTGTCACGTTCTAGATCTTACAGGAAAAACTTTCAGTTTTCCCTCTTTCAGTATGATACAAGCTGTGGGTCTGTCATATATGGCTTTTATTATGTAGAGGTAGTTCCTTTATACCCCATTTTTGAGGAGTTTTTTTTGTTGTTGTTGTTTTTGTGTGTGTTTGTTTTGAGAAAGGGTCTTACTTTGTTGCCCAGGCTGGAGTGCAGTGGCATAATCACCTCACTGAAGCCTCAACCTTCCGAACTAAAGCAATCCTCCCACCTCAGCTTCCCAAGCAGCTGGGACTATAGGCATGTACTACTACACCTGCTAACTTTTGTATTTTTTTTGTAGAGATGAGGTTTCACCATGTTGTTCAGACTGGTCTCCAACTCTTGGGCTCAAGCAGTCTGCCCATCTCAGCCTCCCAAAGTGCTGGGATTACAGGTGTGAGCCACTGCACCTGGCCCTTTGAGGATTATCATGAAGGTATATTGAATTTTATCAAATGCTTTTGCAGCATCAAGTGAAATAATCATATGGTTTTTGTCCTTCATTCTGTTAATGTGATGTATCACATTGATTTGCATATGCTGAACCATCTTTGCATCCCTGGGGTAAATCTCTTTTGATCATGATAATCTTTTAAATGTGTTCCTGAAATCAGTTTGCTAGTAAGTCAATTAAACCTCTTTTCTTTATAAATCACCCAGTCTCAGGTATTTCTTTATAGCAGTGTGAGAACTGCCTAAAATATCCAGGGACCCTGACCTCAGCCCTTAGAGTTCAGCAGTGACCCTGACTCTGGTGTTCCATATCACTTGGAACAAAGCTCACGGATGACTTTGGTCCTACTTAACCTTTTTGCATTTCCTTTTTGGGTTTTATTTTTACATTTCCTAATTGGTATGTGTTTGGGGCAAAGGGAAGCCGAAGAGTAATCTTGACTGGATGGCTGTCGCACAGCCATTTTGCGTTTATGACTACCTCTTTTCCAAAAAAGAAAACTGTTGTTCACAAAAAAGTGTTAAATTGTACACGTGCAAGATGTTGTGCAAAAGTCATCTATCCAACCAAACTCGTTACCTCCTAGAAATTCCATAAAACAACTCATTAAGGCATGAGAAAAACAGAGGAGGCACAGAAAGTGGAAACATTAATGGATGAATGGGTACAACAAGTAGAGCAGCTACATGACATACAAAGAGTAAGCACCTTTTTAGAGTGGAAGTGTTACCAGATTGGAAGTTGGAGTTCCACGTTCTTGGTATTGCAAAAAAGAATTGGAGGAGACACACAAATAATGACCCCGCAAGATTTATTAAGCAAAGAATGTTCCAGAGAGAGGAATGGGCTGGTCCACGAGTGGTATCAGCCTTGGGTTAACATAGCCTTTGTTCGTTTATACCGCCTTACTACTCTTGCTTAACTTTTAGGGAGGGGGTTGCCTATAATTGAAATATCAGTGTTCTTGTTGTTTTTCTCTCTTAGTGCACCTGCGCATGCCTGCCATTCCATAATTTTAAGTGTATGTATGATATGCATTCTATACGTATGGGCTTTAAGTAGCTTATTATAATAAAATGTTATCCTGAGGACACATTTTACCCCTAATGCACGTGCTCCTCTTTCAGTGACTGTCCCATTCCAGGTTATACCAGATATGTTTACTGCAGAAAGCATTGGTTCATCGCTTCAATTTCCTTAGCAGGTGGTGCCTTATGCTTGTTTTGCTGAGAACGGGCTCCTGGTTAATCTTCTGACTTCCTTCCCTATTCTCCTGCCTCAATTCCCTCTGAGAGATGTGGTCTCCATAAATCTTTACAGCTTGCTGAGGGTCGAAGTTCTTTCTTCTATAGCTGCTTCCGGCTGAGTGGGACTGTTGGCCCTACCTAACAGGGGACCACAGAACTCTCACCCTGCTCTATCCAGCAGGAAATTAGGAAGTCTAGACTTATTTCTTGTATGATGATGTCTGGGGCTTCAGGCAATAGAGCCATTTGTAGCTTGATAGATTCTAAACAGGAAGAAATAAATCTGGTTAACAAATTTACAGTGTAAGGGCCAAAAATTAACAACAGAAGAATTACAGTTAAGGGTCCTGTAAAATGGGCTATCCAACTGTTTGCAATTGTTTAAACAGAATTTAGGGTGTTTTCTGCAGTTCTTAAATTAGTAATGACATTGGTTGCCTTAGTCAGATGTCCCAGTATCTTGCCTGAGGAGTTAACATAGAAACAACAGTCTTCTTTTCGAAAAACGCATAATCCCGTTTGATTAGCTGTGAGGAGATCTAGCCTCCTCCTGTTTTGTAAGACAATGCCCGCCAGGGAATCTATATGTTGTTGCTGTTCTTGGACAGCTGCTGTAATTTCTGCCAAAGCCTGTGTTTGTTGTGAAGACAAGTGAAGAGAAATGGACCCGAGTGTGGTTCCTAAAAGTCCTGTTACTGCAGTTGCCAAAGGATGTAATACCGCTGGAGCTGCCCTTTTTACAGATGCATGGCTGTGTCTTATATGGAATGGGAATTTTGTACTAGCATTTGCATAAGACAGTCTTGGAAGTAAAGCGGCAATGCCACAAGTCCCTTTCCATTGGCTTGGAAGACTCAAGTACCCTGAATTTCCGCATATGAAATACAATCCTTGCCCAGGGTCCAAAGATACCTTATATCCCCATGATGCTAGTTCCAAAGGTGGGTCTAAACCACTGGAGGAAGTTCCAGTGAGTTCCCATAAAAGTGTTCCAGCCACACCAAGTTGCGCAGTAAGCTTGGACTGGAAAGATAAGCTGGGGTGGAATCTTAAGAATGATCTTTGGATCCCCCAAGCCAAAGCTTGAGCTAGAGGCAAAGATGAATTGTTGATTAAAACTGTATTCCAACCAGTGGAAATATTGGAAGTATTGGTATTACTTGTATATTGAGGTTTTCTTGGATCAGGATACTTAAGGAGAAGGAATTGGTGTTGTTTTCCTGGTTTGCGATATGAATTGATTTTTGTTTCTGAGGAATTATAATGTTTCTCTTGATTTGTCCAGCTGAGGACGACCTCATATGAACAATTGTTTAGGGATCCCACAAAGGTCCCATTCACTCGGTGGGAAGTAAAACAAATTGGGAATTGGCTCTCTGAGGTTAGGTTGTGAAAAACCCTTACAGGATTTGGGGCATTTGTAAAATTTAAATTTGGGATGTTTCTTATGGTCTGAGCTAAGACTGTTTGGAATAAGCTTTCCGCAGCTGGATTGGGATATGTAGCTTTTGACTGGGTGGCAACAGTGACTCTGGCATTGACCTTGACTATATCTTCTAATGGTAGTGGTAAAACTTCAGCTGATAGTGACCCTGAGGTACAAATGTAACAGGAAGTCAAGTTAGTTAGCATGGCTAACTGTTGAATCTGTTTAAACACTTGGTATTGGGGCTGGACCCCCAATATTGGTGAAAATAGGATTATGGACATAAAAAGTATATCCATTGAGGGGGAAGCAAGTAGTTAAATGATAAATATTATATATAAATAACTAGGATTATTTAACCCACAGTAACTATGCAACAAAGACACCAGGGAAAGTTGGTAAGTATTTACTTATCTGTTGAATGTCTTTTAAACAGGTACATCGGATCTTCCACAGGTTCAAAGGTGTAGTGATTGATGGGAGCTTCAGGTTCCAGGTCTGGAGCTTTACGTATTGCAGGCTTGACCCTGGAAAGATGTATCCAACTTTTTAATCCTAACACATTAACTGCAGAGGGTGTTGTTAACACCCCTGACAATGGTCCCTTCCATTTGGGTTGTAGCTGATGAGAGGGTGAACGCTCTTTCCCCGTTTTAACAAGTACTCTATCTCCTGACCTAATCTTGGATTGCTGGTTAGTTCCTGGTATGGGGAGCCTTTCGGTCCAGAACCTTTGTAATGCTTATTGAAATTTTCCCAGATTAACTAGGTATTTTATTAGCCCAGCTGTTTCTGGATTAGTTATTAGATCATTAGTTAAGAAGGGTCTCCTGTACAGCATTTCCTATGGGCTCATATTTACTTTTGCCCTTGGGGAGTTACGGATTCTCAAAAGGGGTATGGGTAGTAAGCTGACCAACGTTTCTGGCGTTTCCTGCCATAGCTTAGCTAGTGCCTATTTTAGAGTTTGATTAGCTCTTTCTACTTTCCTGGAGGATTGAGGTCTCTATGCTGAATGTAAATAGTATTTAATTCCAAGCACCTTAGCCACTCCCTAAGTTATTTGGGAAACAAAGGATGGGCCTTTATCACTCTAGAGGCTTTGGGGTAACCCAAACTATGGAATTATTATTTTAAGAGGAGTTTTACAACTCCATTAGCCTTTTCTGTTCTGGTAGGGTAAATGTCAACCTATCCTGTAAAGGTGCCTATCAGTGCTGGTAAAAAACTTGTATCCTCTGCAAGCTGGCATATGGATAAAGTCCAAATGCCAGTCTTCCCCAGAATAAGTCCCCCTTCTTTGGACTGGTTCTATTAGTGGAGTCATTCTGTTTCCTGGATTGTTAAATGCTCACAGTGAGCAGGCCTGACAGACCTGCTTAACTACTAAGGCTAAATTACACCCGATAAAGAGCCTGTTTGCCATCGCCAGAGTGGCATTTCTCCCCATCTGTAAAGAGTTGTGCAGGGTTTCTTATAACCTTCCATTGGGCTGTTTGAGGGAGATATACTTTTGATCCCATATACCACCAAGATCCTTGTTTCTGTCCGCCTTGCTCCCTTAAAACCCATTCCTCCCGTGATGTGTATTCAGGTTCTATCGGGGAATCACAGAAGGGAAGCAGTGCTAAAGATTGCGCCTTGACGGCTGCTGCTTTCATGCTTCCCTGTCAGCCTTTTTGTTCCCTTGTGCTATAGGAGCTAAGTCCTTTTGATGCCCTCTACAGCGAATTATAGTCACAGCTTTTGGCACGTGTTTTGCCTCCAACAACCGGAGAATTTCAGGCCCATGCTTTATGGGTGAGTGCTCTCTAGTTAGTAGTCCTCTTTCTTTCCAAAATTGTAGCATGAGCCGGCACCACAAAAAATGCATATTAAGGGTCTATATAGATATTAAGCTTTTTTCCTTTACCTGACATTAGGGCTCAGATACGAGCAATTATTTGAACTTTTTGTGCTGACATGCCCCGGGACAATGACTGGACTTCAGTGATGGTGTTGTCATTTACTGTTGCATATCCAGCCTGGCATGTCCCATTTGACACAAAGCTGTTGCCATCTGTGAACCAGTCATCCTCTGAGTCTGGAAGTGACTGATCTTTTAAGTCAGATTGGCTTACATGTGTATGTGTGATGACCTGCTCACATGAATGACCAAATATTGAGCCTGTCAGCAGCAATGGAGCTGAATTCAGGGTATTACAGGTTTTAAGGATTACCTCTGGATTGTATAAGAGCATAGCCGCATACTTGGTTAACCTTTTCCTCATTATCCAAATATGCCCGTTTATTTCCAAGATTGATTTCACCTGATGTGGAGTTAAAACTTCTAGTGGTTGACCTACGGTGATTTTAGTGGCTTCTTCCACTAAAATAGCAGTAGCTGCTATTGCTCACAGGCAGCTTGGCCATCCCAAGGCCACACATCCAATTTCTTTGAAAAATAGGCAGTTTGTCTGGGTTCTGATCCTAATTTTGGGGTTAGCACCCCCACATCCATGCCCTTCTCTTCTGCCACATACAAGGAAAAGGACTTAGTGAGGTCTGGAATGACAAGAATGGGGGCTTTGCTAAATGCCTGTTTTAACTTCACAAAGGCTTCCCTCACTTCTGGAGTCCATTCCATTGACTCATTTTATGGCCCCCTTATTGTTTCATAAAGGGGTTTTGCTATGAGCCCAGAATTTGGTATCCATATCCTGTAGAACCCTACCATTCCTAGAAAAGAATAAAGCTGTTTAGTATAACGGGGTCTAGACTGCATATGACTTGTACCTGTTCTGGGGATATCTGCTGGGCCCAAGGGTTTAGAATACAACCCAAATATTGGACCTGTTGGAGGGTGATTTGAGATTTTTTCTTTGACATTTTGTATCCCCTGTCTGCCATGAAATTCAAAACTTTTACAGTATTTTAGTCGGTTGCTTCCTGGGTTGGGCTACACACAAAAGGTTATCTACATATTGAAGTATGCTTCCATTTTCCAATAGTAAATCTCTTAGATCCATTTACAGGGCTCAAGCAAGGAAATGGGGGCTATCCTGAAAGCCCTGAGGGAGCACTGTCCGTGTGTATTATTTTTCTTTGGTATCTGGATTTTCCCATTCAAAGGCAAAAAGGTACTAAAATTCTGGGGCCAGAGGAATGGAAAAGAAAGCATCTTTCAGGTTTAGGACCAAGAACCATTTTGCATCCCCTGGCATCTGATCCAGGACAGTGTATGGTTCTGCCACCAATGGGTGGATGGGGATAACAGCTTCCTTGATTGTTCTGAGATCCTGTACTAGCTGATATTCCCCTCAAGTTAAGATGGGTAAAATGGGAGTATTGCAGGGAAAATTGCAAGGCTTTAAAAGTTCATGAGTTAGCAATTCTTGAATGATGGGCTTTCAGCTTAATTGGATATCATTTTCAGTTCGGAAAATAGCTGGAGTCTTTTTAAGCTGTATTTTGCCTGGCTTTGCCATTTTGGCTTTCCCTGGTTTCCCGGTATACCAAGCTAGTGGGTTAACCTTTTTGTTAATGTGGTCTGGGACACTTTACTTACCCAACCATCATCAATCCTGCAATGTTCATATGGTAGTAATTCCTCTATTTTAACCATGCCCTCTGCCTTCAACAAGGGGACTCGGCAGCTTGGTATTACTAGAAACTCCTATTGGAAAATTTGCTTCTCAAATTGACAAGTTAAAGGAGGTGTAAAGGATCTTTTTGGCTTCCCTTCCATTCCCATAACATTCATGAACTGGGAGGAAAGTTTTCCTGCATATGCAGTAAGGACAGAGTAATTTGCCTTTATATCAAAGAGAAACTAAATTTGGGTGCCCGTGATATCCAGAGTTACCCAGGGCTGCTCAATAGTAATGATGATATTCCTGGACAGGGACAGTAAGGAAGGCTCCAGGCCACTTCAGTCTTCATCTAACTCCTCCTTTTAGACTGCCAGAGTTTTGACCAATTAAGCACCTTGGTGGGAGCAGGGGAAGTCAATTTGCCAGTGCCAAGGGTCATGACTGATGCCTTCATGTTGATGACGGGGCACGGTGGGAGCTTAGTATGATCCTTTCCCCAATGTCCATCTTTTTTTTGCACTTGAAGCAAGAGTCTTTGCTAGCATTATCTTTGTGGCCCTTTGTGTTTCTCTTGGATGCTTTTTGGGCATTCAGGGCATCATGAATGATAGCTGCCATAATTCTGGCTTGCTGTTTTTTTTTTTACTTTGCTCCCCTTTTCCTTCCTCCAGTTCACAATTGTTGTACACCATAAAGGTGGTGTCAAGGAACTGGTTTTGATTAGTCTGTGGTCCCATTTGCAGCTTCTGGAGCTTACGTCTAATGTCTGGGGTAGATTGACTAATGAAATATTGTGCCATTAATATCCTGCCTTCAGGAGAAGCGGGATCTAAGTTTGTATATTTTTCAAAGGTTTCTTCTAGTCTACTATAAAACATGGGCTGGGCGCAGTGGCTCACGCCTGTAATCCCAGCACTTTGGGAGGCTTAGGCTGGCGGATCACTAGGTCAAGAGACTGAGACCATCCTGGCCAATATGATGAAACCCCGTCTCTACTTAAATACAAAAATTAGCTGGGCATGGTGGCGCGCTTGTAGTCCCAGCTACTTGGGAGGCTGAGGCAGGAGAATTGCTTGAACTCAGGAGGCAGAGGTTGCAGTGAGCCAAGATCGCACCACTGCACTCCAGCCTGGCGCCTGGCAACAGAGCGAGACTCTGTCTCAAAAAACAAAACAAAAACCCAAAAAACCACGGCTGGATTCTCTTCTTTCCCCTGAGTGATCTCCCTAAGCTTATCATAGTTTAATGCACTCCTTTTTTCATTCCCCTCATGGGTGCCTCAAGAAATTTAGTTCGATTATTCATTCTTATGGGGGTATTATATTTCCAGTTGGGTTCAGTTGTGGGGACTATATCTGCTCCCAGTCTGGTGCCCTGCAGGCTACCTGCAAAACAATTCATCAGTGTCCTGGCTAGCAGCCTCAAAAACTCATTCCCTTTCCAGAAGTGTGCAACAGGTTGCCAAAATGAATTGCATGTCTCTCCAAGAAAGGTTGAAAGCCAAAGTCAAACTCTGGAACCCATCAGCAAATTTCTTAGGGTTTTCTAAGTAACTGCACAGTTTTTCCTTACATTGTTGGATATCAGTTACTAAGAAGGGTACCTATACCTTGTTATGACCCTTGGTTCCTGCCAATTCTCAGAGAGGTAACAGGGCAGGTGATATCATTGAATATGGTGTTCCTAAGCTAGTATGGGAAGGGTTTGCTAGGACCCTTGACTCTTGTGATTGTTTTGAAGCTTAGGATGTATTTGGACCTGGATTATAAGGAGGTGGCTGTTGTTTGCCCTGACAGATATGTACCCCTTGCAAGAGAGGGTTATCTATAGTGTCCGGCTCAGTTTTAGGAGTTTCTTTCTGTGGAGAAGTTTTGGGGACTTTGAAAATGGAGGGCTTTTTAGATATAGGGCAATGAAGGCTTGCACATATGGTATCTCGGATCATTTGCCTTGTCTCTTACAAAATAGATTTAATTGGAGGATGGTGTCATCATTCAGACTTCCATTGAATGGCCATTGCTCTTGACTCCCTAGCTGAAATTGAGGCCAAATTGTGTTACAATAAAATATTAGGCATTTCTTTCACAGGTTTTCAGGGTCAAACTGATTCTAATTATTGAGGATGCAGCTGAGAGGGGAGTCAGGCAGGACTGAAGGAGTGGTTCTCATGACTAATCTGTGGAAATGAAGAAGGGAGTCTCGGCCAGGCGCGGTGGCTCATGCCTGTAATCCCAGCACCTCGGGAGGCCGAGGCGGGCGGATCACCGGGTCAGGAGATCGAGACCATTCTGGCTAACACAGTGAAACCCCATCTTTACTAAAAAAAAAAATTAGCCTGGCGTGGTGGCATGCGCCTGTAGTCCCAGCTACTCGGGAGGCTGAGGCAGGAGAATCGCTTGAACTGAGGAAGCAGAGGTTGCAGTGAGCCGAGATCGGCCATTGCACTCCAGCCTGGGTGACAGAGTGAGACTCTGTCTAAAAAAAAAAAAAAAAAAAGAAGAAGGGAGTCTCACAGGTTCATGAGTTTACATCTAGAGTCTCCCTTCAGGGTGTCCCCTTTTGAGGGATCTGGACTGTTATTTTGGTCCATTGGGGTATTCCCCAAATGGACATGTCTTCTGAGTGCTAGACTTCTCTAGCCTTAGGTGGGCACCAGTGCTACTTGAAGAAGAATCCGGCCATAATTGGTGATCTATGATAAGTTTCCCTTTAGTTCCTGGGTTTAACCTTTGGCTTTTAGCACCCCTGAAGCTGGCCAAAACAGTTTCTTTCCAAATGGTTTTCTTAACTATTGTAGTAATTATAGTTTGAAGGGCCAGGGATTGCAGACTGCCTAGTTTAAATTTGTTATTAGAGACTGGCCTCTCAATAAGGAAGTAGAATGCCCTCTGACTATGTGAGATAAACCAGGCACAGTGATTTCCCCATGGATCCACTGCGCAATTTATGCAATGATCCAAGAGCCCCCACCAGGAGTTTTCTTTTAGCACCAGATCCACTAAACTAAAACAATCTAGATCTGGTCCCTCACAGAAGTAGCAGGGTACTCTCCTTATCCAGGTGGTAGGCCCTAATCGTCGGGCTCATGCTAGCCCTTGTGCTCTCCATAGTCAGTTATCTATTGCCCTGGCCCTTTGGGTTTGGGGTATATCTCTAGTTGGTCTAAACATGTTAACCCAACACAAAAGAAGAAAAGAAAAAAAAATTAAAACAAGCAGCAAATAATGTAATATTATAGCCACACAAAAATGCACTTCACCATTGCAGGGATTGATCTTACACCCCATGGGACCTATTTGCCCCATTCCCCAATCAGATTATCTTGTGACCGGAGTCTTCAAGTGTCCGGCGCCTTTTTGGCTATTAACTACCCAACCCATGCCAGCAAAAGGCATCTTTAAACCAAAGCAAAAGAGCTGAGGCGAAAAAGAAAGAAAATAAAAACTCCCAGTTCTTCTGGGCTTACCTCTTGACGGGCTCACCAAAATGTTACTGGGTTGGAAGTTGGAGTTTCAGGTTCTTGGTGTTATGAACAAAGAATTGGATGAGACACTCTAATAACCACCCTGCAAGATTTATTAGGCAAAGGATGTTCCAGAGAGAGGAACGAGCTGATCTTCTGGTGGTACCGGCCCTGGATTAATATAGCGTTTGTTCTTTTATACTCACGTCCTACTCTTCCCTAACTCTTAGGGAGGGGATTTCCTGTAATCGTCATACCCGTTTTCCTGTTTTTCTCTCTTAGTGCGCCTGCGCATGTTTGCCATAATTTTAAGTGTATGTATGATATGCATTTCGTATGTATGAGCTTTAAGGAGCTTATTATAATAAAAGGTTATCCTAAGGACACATTTTGCCCCGAATGTGCATACTCCTCTTTCAGGGATTGTCCCATTCCAGCTTATACCAGATTTGTTTACTGCAGAAAGGGTTGGTTAATTGCTTCAGCTTCCCTGTCAGGTGGAGCCTGCCTGTTTTCCTGAGAAGGGGCCGCTGGTCAGTCTTCTGACTTCCTTCCCTATTCTCCTGTCTCAGAAGGCCTACTTGGAAGAAAAGTAAACAGGAAAGAATGGAACTCCTGATCATCTGGGAAATTTTCAGAAGCGAAAGGGAATTTTAGGGTTTTACTAGATGTTTTCCATCTGTGCGTGGACTATAAACAATTTATTTCCACTGACAAATGTTTTGCTGAGTAAAATAGTCTCTGACTCAAGGAATTCACAGTTGAGGGCGGCAGGGAGAGACAGATCAACAAATGACTGTGTTTTGATGTATGCATTCTATGGTTCTACACAGAGCCTCAGGGAGATACGATCGTGGGACAATTAATTGCATTGGGTGATTGTCAGGCAAAGTTGCAGGGACAATTTGATATCTGCGTTTGGGGATTACGTGGTGAGCAGGTGTTCACCTTGCAGGTGCAGGCTACTCCACCTCAGGGACCAGTAATGGGGCGGCGTTTTCGCCCCGCACACAGTAGGAGATCCACACATCTGGCTGACAGAAAGAAGAGAATGGCTCAGGCTTCAGCTGAGGTGTGGCGTTTGCCGGCCGCGAGCACCGACCTCCAGGGGGCGCCGTGGCCTCGCTGTGTCCGGGCGTTGCATTTCCGGGCACCAGGGCGCCGCCACGGTCGCCGCGCGCGTCCCCGCCGCGCGCCGCGCATCGTCCGCCGCTCCCGTTACCGAGGCAACCGCGGCGCCTCCTCCGTGTCGGCCGCGATCGTCCCTCCGCGCCATTTTCAAACTGTTCTAGCGCCGGAGCCCGCGGCTGGGCGGAAGGAGCTAGTGGGGGACTCGAGACCCGAGGGCAATGCGGCTGGAGGCGGAGGGAACGGCGGCTGGAGCTGCCGGTGAGTCCGGCCGCGGAAGCGAGGGCGCCGGCGGCGGCGGTAGTGGCGGCGCCTTTGCCTTCCGGGAGGTCCCCGCGGGCCGGGTTTGGGCGCTGCCGGGAGGCCGCGCGGCCGCCGGAGGAAGTGGGGCTAGACCGGGCCCGACCTGCCGGGGAGGGGCGCGAGGACTCTTCGCACCGGCCCCGCTTCCACACCCGCTTCCCGTCAACACCCAACGGTAAAGTTGCAAACCGGAGATTGGCCGGGGGAGAGCTTGGGCCCGGCTAGTCCCGGAGCGTCAGTGTAGGCCGTGCAGACAGATTTGCTGTTGACCAATGGATCGATTTAAACATTAAAATGCCCTGTCAGCGTAACAATCACCCACTCTCTTTGTAACAAAAATGTCCCAAAGCATAGAACGACAGCTTTTAATTAATCTTTGCCCAGCTCCTTTGAAGCATCACCACGGCTTTTCAACCTTTGAGTTCAGTAAGGGAGGACTCCGAGATAACCACAGCTAACGGGTTGTCCTTTGTTGTCGTTTGGGATTTCTTGTTTATGTTTTTAGCTCCTATGCACACGTACATGCACACAGCAATGTTTTTGTAAAAATTAAATGTACTGGTTTTCAGACGTCAACCCCCAGAGTTAAGTAGATGAATACTTCTACACATATATGTATGGGGGATTTCCCCCCCCAAACCTAACCTTTTATGTTTCTTCTCTGGAAACTTAAAAGAGTATAGCCCCCATGTCTGGATGGGGATTATGTGGGAGGACAATAGTGCATGGGTGAGGACGGCCTAACATGTTTTTGTCTGGAAGGATTTTAATCTGTCCTGAGGCCCTGGTTATGATTTATTGATTCATATTTATTCTCATTCTCTCCCTGCCAAAGCAGGATATGAGGCGGTATTATCTCTGGGTAACTGGACTTGGTAGCAAAGAGGGGAAATGTTTGAGTGGTGCACGCCCTGCAAGTTTACACCCTGCTAGTAATGCATCTGGATTTGTCAGGCGTATTTCTGATGTCTGCGGGAATTTCCCTGAAAACCCTGCATCACTTAGGTGTCTCTTGTGGAAGGAACCTAGGAAGTCCATGAGGAAGCCATTTAGAAAAAGTTAACAAGAGCAAGGAGAAAAATTTATAGAAAGGAGTAACCAAAGAGAACGACTAATTTAAAAGTGATCTGGTAAGTTGAGGCAGCATGGTACAGAAACCAGGGTGCTGGGCCGGGACTTAGAAGACCTGGTCTCTGATGACCGCCCACCTACTTTGTGGCCCCGTGGTTGTGGAATAGTTACTTTCTTGAGGCCCCGTGGTTTTGGAAGAGTTAAGTAGGGATGATATCATTGATCTTTCTCCCTCCCAGGGTAGCTGTGGGGTTTGACTTTTACATGTAGGCTCATGCATGTAATGTATTTTTTATATATTGTGGAGAACAACCGATATAAAACAAAATTTTTAGTTGGCTTAGAATTATGACTATCATGACTACAGTTAGCAAAGGTTAGAAAAGAGCGAAGTTTCTAAAGAAATTATCTTTGGGCTGAGTGTATTGGCTCACACCTGTAAACCCAACACTTTGGGAAGCAGAGGTGGAGAATAGCTTGAACTGAAGAGTTGGAGACCAGCCTGGGCAACATAGCAAGACCCTGTCTCTAAAAAAGGTAAAAATTAAAATATATATAAAAAAGAAATGATCTTTGGAAAAGTCCATTTTAGGGCAGATTGATAGGAATATATTCATAAATATTAAAAAAGACAAGGACAGACTTGTACAGAGGCACTTGTGTCTTTTTTTTTTTAATTGAAGTGAAATTGACATGGTGAAACGCATAGATCTTAAGTGTACTATTTGAAAAGAACATTCTGTAAATGTAAATACACCTGTGTAATCACTACCCCAATCAATGTAATATTTTCATTACCCTAAAAGGTTCTCTCTTAACTCTGACAGTCGCAACCGCTTCACTTCCCCAGGCAACTACTGTTTTAATATCTGTCCCCATAGTTTAATTTTACTTGTTCATCAACTTCATGTATATGGAGTCATATAGTGTATGTCTGGTTTCTTTTGCTCAAATAATGTTTCTGAGATTCATTCATACTGTTGATTTGTATCAGTAGTTCCTTTTATCCCTTAGTATTGCATTGTGTAAATATAGTTTATCCTTTCTGCTGTTGATGGGGGTTTAGGTTGTTTCCAGTTTGGGTCTACTATGAGTAAAGCTCTTGTGAACATTCTTGTAGAGTCTTTTTGTGGATATTTTTTATTTCCATAAATACCTGGGAATAGAATCATAGGGTTACAGCCTAGAAGTATGTTTAACTTTATAAAAAACTGCCAGACTTTTTCCAAAGTGATTTTATGCTCCTGTCAGCAATGTGTGAAGATTCTAGTTGCTGTAGATCTTTGTGACATTTGCTATTGACGGTCCTTATAATTTTAGTCATTCTAGTTTGGGAGAAATTGTACCTTGTCGTTTTAATTTGTATTTCTGTGATGACTACTGTTGAGCACCTTTTCATATGATTATTCCCGTTCAGACACCTATGCGAGATGTCTGTTCAAGCCTTTAGCACAACAAAATTTTAGTTTTAGCCCAAATTAATGTTATTATTGGGATGTTTGTCTTATTGAGCTATAAGAGTTCCTTTTATATTCTCTCTACAAATTCTTTGTCAGATATTGTGAATATTTTTTCCCACTCTTTGGTTTGCCTTATTTTCTTAATTGAGTATTTTGATGGGCAGACATTTTAAATTTTGATGAAGTCTAATTTATCAAATTTATCTTTTATGTTTAGTGCTTTTAAAAGAGGCTTCTCCAAGAATTCTCTGCCTACTTCAGGCTTAGGAAAAATCTTTGTTTTCTCCTGGAAGCTTTATTGTTTTAACTTTAACATTTAGTTGTATGAAGAAATATTTATTTTAATCCAGCAACAGGAATATCATAAGCATTGATTTTAAATCTGAATTTTCTACAAGGCTACCTACCTGAAGAAAAACAAAAAATAATTGTTTCATATTAAAAGAATTTTTTCTCCTTATTGTGAAACAACAATTATAGCTATAATATAACGATATTTTATTATTTTCTCTCAGGACTTTAATTTTTGGAAGTGAATACAACTTATTTTGGAAGACAAGATGACTACAGCTGTAGAAAGAAAGTATATTAATATTAGAAAAAGACTGGATCAGCTGGGATACCGCCAGACTCTGACAGTGGAGTGTTTACCTTTGGTAGAAAAACTTTTCAGGTAAAGACAAAAATACAGTTTTAAGATTCCTAATCCACTTACCTTATTTCTGATTGAACTTCATGCTTCAGTAAATAAAAGGGTAGATTTTCTAAAAGGCTTTAAACCATCTGAAGCTCATCTGTTTTTTCACTGTCCTCAGTCCAGGCCTTCCATATTGCAGAACTCTAAAGGTCACCACTCATGCTGTACTATTCAAAGTAAACGTTTCTGAGGGTTTTCTCTGTGAATAGAATTATAGTTTTTTGGGTATCTGATATAGTTGAGAGACAATTTTCCCTTAAGTTCTTTTTTCCCCCCTTAAGTTCTGTGTCTGCTTCACTGGTCTTCAAATACAGTCATGCATAGCTTCATGACGGGGATAGGTTCTGAGAAATGTGTCATTCATTAGGTTATTTTGTCATTGTACCAACATCATAGGGTGTGCTTACACAAATCTAGATAGTTTAGCCTACCACAAACCTAGGCTATATGGTATATATCCTATGGCTCTTAGGCTACAAAGCTGCACAGCGTGTTACTACACTGAATATTATAGGCAGTTGTAACGCAATGGTACCTATTTGTGTATCTGAACATAGGTAGTCATAGAAAAG